AACTAAATGAAAAGAAAATATTAATATGAAACAAGTCCATTTCAGGTTTTAACACACAGCAGTACTTAACAATTTAATGGATTTCTCCTAGATAAATGAAATCTACATTCATAAAGATAGAAGCCATTAGTCACTATTTGCCAAAAAGCAACAAGAGGAAAATGAATACAGACAAATAAACAACAGTAAATATCTGTCAAATAGCATGTTACAGTACTACTGATGGTAAAGCTGCTTTGGTTTCAAATAGCAAAGCTTTCATTTTGCAATTAACTCACATGAAGTAGAAGCACAGCTGCAAGGAAAGACTGTCCCTGGCAATAGCCAATGTCTTCATCGTAGACAGAATATGCCTAGAAAAAATCAAAGTCAACATATATTTAAAATGCACGCTGGCAGTATCAAAATGTGTTATCATCAATGAGCTATTCAGAATATGTAATACTGTGCAGGCTAAAATAATAAAGAGTGAAACTGCAACCATGCTTGCACAGGCTTTCAGGGCATTTAAGAAAGCATCCACAGGTCAGCCTCAATGTTCCATAGATGATGTATTTGTAAATTTTTATTTTCTGAACAGCATGAAAAGAGTTGGATGCAATTTGCCTTCACTTAAATCAAGGATAATTCTGCTGAGGTCAGTAATGATATAACTTTAATGATATAACAAGTAAGATATAAAAAAACAGGTCAGTTTGTGTTGTGGGGAGAATGCTGGTTTGGTTTTGGAAAAACAAGTTCTGATATCGTGAAAGTATAAGACCTGAGGCTGGTGGTTAGAAAACCACCCAGAACTACTCTAGCCTGAAAATTTCAACAGAAACATTTTTTTCCATGTCCTTGTTATGCTGAAGAATGAACAAGACTCATTTTCCTACGGTATGACTGACATATTGCTTTTTTCTTCCTCTTAACAAAACAAAACTAAAATAACCAACCTTTCCTTCCCCCATACTTTTCCGAGACAAGACGACAGATACTGGTTTTAAAGAGATGTCAGAGGATGCTAAGAAGTTGAGGAAACTTGAGAAAGTGTAAGCAGCAGCAGGACTGACATCGGAGAGAGAGATACCCTGAGACAATAAGCAAGGGACGCTGGTTACAGCCAGGGAAAAGGAAAGCACAAGGCCAGAGCTATGGGGAGGAACAAGCCACATGAATCAGAAACTCCGCTTTGCCCCCCCACCGCCTCCAAGACTGTTTACTGATGAGAACGTATTGAGCTGGAACACCGTGCTTATCTTCTTTTTTTTAAGTTTTGAATGAAATCAGGATTGCAGGTCCACTGAATGGAAGCAGAGAGAGGCTGTGAATAAGCAATGTTGGATGTGCTGGGGCACCAAACCCACCTGGCTCTGCCGTACAGTGTTCCAAAGGTGGCTACGCTGCCTCTTCAAAGGCTAAGAACTGGGACTCAAAATAGGTGCGGCTTCTTTCCAGCCAACAGTATTAACATAATTGCAAGTAATTTCTGGCAGAAATGTTGAAATGAAGGCCAAAACATATTTAAAGTCCTTAAGCGACCTTTCCTTTTCCACTTAGATGGGCAAAAAATAAGCAACTACAAACAATAAACAACTATAAACAACTCATCCATACATTTCCTAATACATTTGTAGCTTTGTGAAAAATTGAACTGTGACTTACAGCTCTTTGTCTATATTGCTTACCTTTCTTTTGCAGTATGTTTGATGGAATTAGCTAGAATCTGAGTGAAAATAATCCCAATCCATTGCTCAGTTTCAGTGGTCAAGCAAATACAAAGCTAGTCACATAAATTATTGAAAAAAAAATGTAATGAGCCTTTACAATCTGCTTACTAGTTTAAACCAGCTCTAGCCACAAAAGTAAAATATAAAAAATAACTCCAGAAATGTACAAATATCCATCAGATATAAAGATTTTGAATTGGAAAAAAGGGATGCTCTCTTAGAAAAAGTTAATTTAAAATTACTCTTCAGGTACTGAATGAACAGAAATTACTTAATATTGCATATGAATAATTAGAACTGTCCACTGGTTCATCATCATCATCATGAGTCTTTATCTATTTGCTCCCAAAATCTACCGGTTTATGGATGCCTAACATTTTATTTCTATAGCATTCCTAAAAGATGTATTATTTCTGCTTTTGAAAGGTCAGCTCCGCTTAGAAACAGATGTGCAGAATTACAAATAACAAATCTGATTTCTGATTTCTTCATACTATGTAACAACACTTTTACTTTAAAAAAAAAAAATCCAGGCTGAAAACTTAATAGCAAATTATCTATGCATCTCTGTTGTGAGAAGCATTATCAGCGCAATAGCTAATAATTTGCTGAAAACAGCAATAAATTAATCCAAGCAAGTTTTAAAATAACTATTGAGAAATCAACACATTGGAACAAACAAGCTGCCTCCAAAACTGACATAGGTTAAAAAGTAAAGAAAGTTATGAGAAATAAAAAGATACTCCTTTTGAGACTGTGAAAGAAGCTGAAATTAGGGCAAAAGAGGGAAAATGGGGAGGGTGCAAAAAAATCTTCACTCGGCATGTTAAATATAAAAATATGAAGGAAGACAAAAAAAGTTCTCACAATCAACTTCCTAAAAAACATTGAAACTAGGAATAAATCTGTTTCAAACACATCCAGGCCTCTACTTGGAAAATATATGATCAAGGTAGAAAAGTTGTATTTAAAGTATAGCAGAACCATGAACTTTCCTTGTGTCTGTTTTATTACAGAAGAATCGCAGGGGCTGTCATCCTGCTGGAATCATTTCTAGCAGGGGATGTGTCGAAGGATCTGTCTCCAACTGAGTATCAGAAGAGATGGTAACTTAAAATGAATAAAAATACTAAAAATGTATTAAGAACAGACAGTATTCACCCAAAATATTCACCCAAAAAGCGGGGGGGGGGGGAGTAAACTATTAACTAGCCGATTAAATCAGAATAGCAGCTGACAAATTTGAAACATTTGTAAAAAGAGGTGATCCACAGAACAACAAATCAATAAGTACTGGATAATTTGGTTTTAAAAAAATAATTCAGATTAATTAGTGGACACAGATATACATAGGATATAAAAGAGAAAAATGCCTGAGGGCCCCAATAAAAGGATGTAATCATTAACAAATCTTTGAAGCAACCAACAAATATGAAAAAAAACAAATTAACTGCTTGATCTGCTTGTTTTTTGAAATTAATCTCCACTAGGCCCTTCCCCAAAATCTGATCTCCACAAGCAGCTGTTATCAGACACATAGATACCAACTTCAGTTCTGCATGAGAACTAGATCAAACTGAGAAAGATTCTGCTGTTAAGTCAAAGCAGCATAAACCTGGCAACCAAAGGTTTATTTTTTTATGAGGTCTCTCAAAATCTACATGATTTCATCGTATTTGCCTAAAGCAAACAGATTTTTGAAGCTTTATGCATATTACATTTCCAATTATACTTTTTTAGTTTTAAGTAACCTATGGGACTTGATATTGCTGAAGTATGATGTAATTAACCAAAACAGCCTCAAAAATAAGGATGCTGCCTACAGATACCACCATAATATCATACTATTAACAAAAGATCTAAGATTAATTATTTAAGATTTATCCTTTTAAGGGACTGAGGAGCATTAACATTGTCTTTCCACATGAAATACGAAAACAAAGCAAAATCCCAAATTCCCTATTGCCATTGCAGTCATTGTAACTTTGTAATTTCAAGAGAATGAGGATTTTTCCCATGACAACCCGCGACAATGTTACAGCCTTTTTAAGTTATTATTTTCTTGAGCTCTAGGGGAATCTCCAATCACAATACTCCAGTTAACTGAGATTTTAAATATTCTCTGTCTCATAAATGGGACTTAATGAAGATTGGGACTTGAAGCCTGCTTTCATTCATTTTAACTAAATGAAGATCTCAGTTGCAGAATTAAAATGTCTTTTTAATAGTTATCTGTCTTTTGAAGAGAAGAACTACTATGCAGTTATTAGTACAACATCATTAGAAAGTGAATCCTTTGGAAGCAGCAGAGTGTCCTCAAACAGTCAATGACAGAGAACCACCTGCATGTTGGGAATGTGGCTGAAGAACCCAGAGACAGACAGACATTCTTCTCTAAAATAATTAATGGAGGAAAATCTCCCAAGATCGGGATCTTCTGTAGACAGAAAAATTGCAAGTAAGCAAGCAGCATTTCAAAAATGAAGGGAAAGGTTGCTGATTTGAATTTAAAACCTCAGATGTGGGATTTCTGCAACTACTGCGTATGAGTCCCAGCGCTTTTAAAAAAGGAAGAGCAGAGACTACGTCTCAAATTCCAGAATGAAATGTTTTTCATCATTTTGCACCCTCATAAGCATGAAAATGATTGCTTATACTTGCTGAAGGTTCAAATGTACTTAACACAACAACATGCAAACCACTAACTAGCAAATACCAGCTTGCAATCACGTCGCCAGTTTGCCTTTACCATCGTAACTCAACGACATGAGAAACTAAACATTACAATGACGTGAGAAACTAAAAAGAGCTCATGAAAAATATTTCTCCAGTGTCTGCCTCATACAAAGGGTCTTACGTTTCCAGAGCTTTCACCCCCACGCACGCTTCACGGCAATACAGAGGGAAAGGTAGGAGCAGAGGCTCTACAGATCTCCGTCTCTCATCTGCAATAACGGTATCTCTCTTGTCAGTAATAATGTTTTCTGGCACAGGAAACACTCACTTCTCTGAAAAAGTGACAGGCACGCTGGCACAATGCTCGTTAACAGCCGTACAAGATATCCAGCATCTGTGTCCCAGGAAAAAGGAAAATGTAACAGGAATTGAATGCAAGGGTTTTGGGGGGAGAATTACAAGCATGATTTGCTCTCATTACCTTTGTGTCGCTACCAAAATGATAGAAATGATCTAGGGAATCTACTCAATGGTTGATACAGACACAGCTCGGTGCCGAATTCTGTGTTAGTAGAGTTAAAAGACTTATATGGTGTCTGAAAACCAGACTGCCTGAAGAAAACATCCATGCTTTGATGGAGACTTCTCATGCAACAAGGTATTTTATGACATGCTTGGTCACGGAATAATTTTAGTGACAGTATAATTTAAAACTCCATACCTAAATTTATTATAAGGCTAACAGTCTGAAAGTAGTGATATTCCTATGACTGCAGCATTTAGGATGTATCACATTATACAAGGAAATTCTGTGTTAACTGAAAACTGTATTTTTAGAAATTAGTTACTCATTTATTGAGTAGCAGGGAGAGCCACGTGTATGTTATACAATAAGCCTCCTCCAGAGCTGTAAGGGCCGAGAGACTGAAGAAATCTTCACATTTATTCCAGCAGGCCTCCAAACGTACTGAAGCCTTTACTCTCTTTCCAGCATTCAAAATTCACAATCCTGACCTTTTCACTAGTCCAGTCTCAGCAGAAACCCCACACGCAAGAACTGCTTCCTTCCTGAGCACAGAGAAGGAACCTTATTAATATGTAAATGGCAGAAGACAAGATAACATTAAAGATTCTTTGCATGAAACAAGACAACAATATTTACTAAAATTGCTCTTCAAGTCAGGAGCAAAGAAAATAAACAACTAAAAATAGATGAAAAATAATTCTTAACTGATTCTGTTTATGCTCCTACGTTTATCTGAAACTTGGCAAATAGACTCCTATAGGAAAGAAAGGGGTCTGCTCCCTGACAAATAATTAAACCAAAGTGGACAAATACTGAAGCTTCCCATTTGTAAATCTGAGGGGACACTAAGGATTGAAAAATGTGGAAGAATCCGTGCACGCTGGGAAGAGATGATCCTCTGAAAAAAGTAGCTGCAATGAAATAGAAATGAAAATGTAAAAGAAGGATGAATGTTAGAGAACCAGCTTACAGGACAGCACTAAGCAGCAGTTCTGCCCTGCTGAAGGATGAGCCAAAGAGCAATCCATCATTCGCAGCTTATCATGCTATAGAAGCTACTGGTCACAGAAGAGCAACACAAAGACATTTTCACATTTCAATTATACAGCAAAGAACGCAAAAAAACCCCCACCAACCCACAACCCAAAACAAACATATTGGAGCCCATTCAGTATTAGCTCTGCTAGAAAAACAGTTTATTATTCCCTCTGCTAATGTGGGTACCAACAAACAGACAGATATTGGAACCATGACTAAACCGGAGTGTTTCATTTCACAGTAAACCAGCTATCACATTGATCCTGTGCACAAAAACCTTCAGGCAAGTATGACTGAGATTAGGAAAACACTACAAATTTGATCAACCATGGAGATAAGTATTTAGTAACAAAATATGTCATGATACAAATGATTCATATCTTTCCATAATGTCTCTGTTTACTGGAAAACACTAACACCAACTTTGAATCTCTGAGAAGTAATTCGACCATTTACAGAAAAACAGGGAAGCGTTGCGTCTATTTTTCCAGTTTGCCCAGTAAGAACACTCCCCTAGCTAACCCGATTCATCCCCCTGCACCGCACTGCCTTCCTCCTATTAAAGTCACAGTGGTCGGTTGTCAAATAGGGGTTACTTTAATCAGAAAATTAGAGATAACACATCTCACGTTAAATTCTGCACTGCATACACTCCAAAGAGTCGAGAGGACTATTTCTGCCAAGTGCTTTGATTCCCTGGAGCATCGAGCTGTTAACTACATATGCACGCATGGAAGTAGGTCGAGAGTACTATTCTGTTACGCATTGTAACACGGAGAATGAGCGCTTTAAATAGAGCTGGAATTCGCATAGCATTTAAACAGAAAGCGTGCAAGAAACGGAACTATTTTCCCAAGGATGTTTGCTCTGTGCAAATCTAGCTTATGCAATGTCCTCGAGTGAAATCTCCAATCTAGAATCTGGAACTCTTTTCATTTCTTATCACCATTGTCAGCCTTAAAGTTTATTTTTAGATACTTTGTCACATAAATGTTCTGCAACCGAAAAGTTTCCATCTTTCCTGATTTCCTACTGTTCTGAAGAAGAGATTAAGAGACGGAACTAAAACTGACAGACCCGTTAAAATGAGGCAGTGAGCTTTTAATGGTTTTCCTTTTTATCTGACAGCTCAGATCATCTCTCATTTCAGTGGGGAATGAAGAAAACGCTCTTCAGCTTTCTACCCTCCCACTTGAGGACAGACCTTTTCTAGTCTTATTCAATAATCCCTTCTTCGAATATCTTGCTTACGAGAAGGGCACAAGTGCACAGCACCTCTGTTAAAAGCAACCACAATATTACTTTTAGCACACAGATTATTCAGTTGTGTTTTTTTTTTCCAATGGAATGACAGCAGTCGCGTCTGATCTCCATACTGGCGAGTAGGTAGAAACTGTCAAGAATAAAATCAGTAAACATATGAATAACTCAGTGTTGAAGATTGGATATGGTTGTTCTACCAGGAAGCAATGCTTCCCAAATCCTTCTTTGAACCAAGCACGTAAAAGAATGAGGCTGTCAATGGACTCTACTACGATCTTTAGAAAGCCTTCAACAAGATCCCTTCCCAAAGGGTTTTTAGGAAACTAAGAAGGTCCTTCTATGCCCTCAAATAATTGATTAAAGGGTAGAAAAGAAAAGATAGGCCTAAGCTATCAGTTCTCAGCCACAGAATGAAGGTGCGGTCACTCACAGAGCCTTACAGAAAGCTCTGCTAGAGCTGATGCTGTTGAAAATATTCACAAATGGTACAGAACACATAAAAATAGCACGGTAACAAAGACTGCTGATGAGACAAAGCTGTAAATTAAAAGCTGACTGCAAAGATGCTATGCAGAATGTGTTCATATCAAGAGAAAGCGGCAGAGGTCATTCAGCTGTAGATAAATACAGAGCGCCCCACGGGGAAGCAGGCCTCTACCTCCGTACACACTGACAGGCCTCAGATCTAGATCCTTCAAGAAAAGAGGACCAATGTCTGCAGCAACTTTCTCTGCAGGAGCAGTAGAGGCCCTGAGAACAGGGAAGGCTCCCAGCTTTGGAACACTAGCAGAATTCTTCACTTTTACTACAGAAAACCCAGGAAGGTCTGAGATGTCTGCCTCTGTGAAGCTGCCTGCTAGACAGATAATTCCTCTAAGTCACTTCTAGTTCAGACAGATTCACTCCTTCATCTTCGCTTTATTAAACAAAATAGACTGAGATACTCATTCATGAAAAAAAGTTTTTCTTTTCAAAATATGTTCCCAAATTCTTTCATCATCCTCATGGAACTTCTACAGATCCTTTCCAATGTAGAATTAGTCGTCTTTAACTCTGGACACAGTAATCAAAAGCAGCTGCTGTAAACTACTGAGTTACTCCAGTCATTCTATTCCTACGCAAGATGCAACGATCTAAACATCCTTTAACACCTCCTTATTTACCATTCCCTTTTTCTCTGTGTCATCAAGATACCTTTATCAGAAATGATTTTTCTGTTTTCTTTTAGGTGACTAACCAGAGTACATCGAATGAACAAGTGATCTTTGTGACGTCTTGTCTGAAATACATTTATTCAGTGCTGATGTTCAGTAACCTGCTAGCTAGCCGGTTTTTAATTCTTTAATGTGTATCTTGCTCATGTTCTAATTTGTCCAGCATTTATACAGTTTTTGCATGGCAGACTACAGGATCTACAGAATTTGGATAAAATTACCTTCACCAATGAAACCTGTATTTTGGGGGGTTTTATATTAGCTTGTCAAGATCTATTTTCAGTAAACTCATAGGCATTCATTACTTCTCACCTTTAATTCTTGATAAGTTGAATGCTATTCCATCATTTTTCACTTAACTGATCTCAAGCTGACAAGCCCACAATTACCTGCATTGTCCTAGTTATTTTCGAAGATTGGCACAGGAACAGTTTTCTTGTAGCCATCTACAGCCCTCCAAGATTAGTGAGAAATCAATATAATTGGTTCAAAGTTCTCTCTGCTCCTTTATTTTTTACTTTTTTTTTTTAATGTGAATTACTTATGGCAATGACCTTCAATATATATAACATAAGCAGCTATATTTAAGTCATCCGAATTATTGAATAGGAGTCTGTATCACCATAGAATTTATCTGGAGAAGAGGGATATGTATCATTATACCCCAAAGGCAGGACACTCTTTTCTGCTTGTTATGACAACTCCATCACTTCTGTCTATTAATTAACCAGGGGTGGAAATAGAGTAACAAGGAAAAGGAAGGGAAGTGGAAATGGCTTTGTCTAAGGCAATCATTTATCCTACATGTAGGAAAAAAAAACCCACCAAAAACTGCCTACCAGAAACACAATAAAATCTGCAACTGACAGCCAGGGAACCCGTGCCTAGCTGCAATATTTCACCTTCTGGATCTCTCCTGAGCAACAAAAGTCTGTCTGTAAAACCTGGACATATCTGTTCATTTAGTACCTCAGCTTCCCCAGGTGAAAATTGGAAAAAATGAGATTTTTCTTTGATCAGAGGTGATCTGAGAGCTATGCGTGAAAAGCTATACATACACATTGTTTGTGGAGAGGTCAGCTAACTTGTTCTCTAGACAATTGTCCAGAGACATTCCTGCTTTACCTCGTAGCAGTTTCTGTTCCTCCACAAACCTCTCTACCAGCAGAGCAAAAAAAGTTCTACTACACCATGCTTCTACTGAAGTGGACCTCTGATATCAACCTGCCCATTAGTAAAGCTAGCTTGAGCCTCGCTCTTCTCATATGCATCTCAGCAGACACAAAATGCAAGGTTATAAAAAGTAATTCAGGATATCCAGTACTGCAGAAACACTACACTCTCCACAGGCAATCTAAATAAAGCTTTCAAATTCTTATTGATTAGTGACTTGGATCAGAACAGGGTTAGCAGGGCAAAAGACAGTCATAGCAAAATATGGAACATGCTTTAAAATGCAGAGTACTGACTGTACCTTACAGATTTTGTATAGAGATTCCTGACCGTCTCCTTCTGTATCTTTGAAATAATCATGTGCTGGAAATGTACGATGAATATCTCGTGTAATGACACTCTCTTGAGCAGAATCCTGTAAAAAAGAGAGAAAAATCCCCAAGTATTAGCCCGGTAACAGTGTAATATAACAGAATATAAAATTCTAGTGCAGTCAACGTGGATACATTAGATAACTGCTTTACTGACTCATCCTCTAAAAATGCTTTGAGAAGAAACTGAAAATCCTCTAGTCTCATATGCAGTAATAATTTGACAGTTTAACAAGAGCAACGTGGCATGTTTTCTGTCCTTCAGGCTTACAGTTCAAGTTTAAAACTCACAGGAAATGACTAGTTATTTAATTGTAGGTGCATTTTTACCACAGAACATATGCTTACTGTATTTTTCCAGGAGTATTAAAAAAAAAAAAAAAATTTAGACTGTGTCTTCTCTTACAAGCTCATAGGTATTAGTTTAAAATGCGTGTCAACTTACCATAAAACCAGTGTTATTGCAAATTAGCACAATTACTTAGAAATGTTCAAAGTTTACCATGAAGTAGTCTTTAAAAGAACAAAACCAGAAGTATCAGAAAATGTTAATACTTTCAGACAAATCCCATACCTTTCCCTGGGTACCACCTCCAATTCAGTTACAATTCTACACTGACTAGCACCTAGGGATGAGTTCAGGTGCCCTAACACTGGTGTCAGATGCCATTTCAGAAGCCCGAGGACAATCTTGCCTGTAAGCATCTGCTACTGCAGAAGGATACAAGTCTGCTGTAAGTGCTGCATCATCTCTGCAAGCTCCATGTGCAGGATCTGCATATCCAAAGACAGGTAAAATGACACCAAATGCCCACGTTTAGGCAACTGAGTTGTTCCCTAGACATACCTAGCTCCATAGATAAAGAGGCAGTTGCTTACGATATTGCATTTCTATAAAAAGATGGAAATCATTGCAATCGGACCGGAGAAATACCACTGTGTGTACAAGAAAGTGGTATCAAAATGTCAGAGCTGGAACTACAACAGTTAATCAATTGTCTTGAGGTTCCAGTTACCCCCAGTGTGAGATAGCACCTGTAAATATCAAATGGTGCTTTCCCCTACTACCTTTCTAATCCTAAAGGGAAAACCAACAGAATTCTCACCTGCAACTTTGAAAATTAATCCTTGACCTCAAAACCAAAACATCTCTGTTATAGAGAAGCTTCTAAACCCTCAGATTGCAGTTTGTAATCCAGGACTCACCATAAAAAAGCTTATTTACACCTGCTGGAGTCAGCAACCAGGTAATCTCCCCAATTTAGGTGCTTTCCTAATCCCATAGAGCCTCTATGGTGAGACTATGCCAGAAGTCCGCAGGAATTCCCAACTACCAACACACAAGAAGATGTCACCTTGGGCATCTGTTACGTTAATTCTTTGGCACAAATTTGAAAAGATCCAGATATTTTAAAGAGAGTTACAAGGAGCCCACCACAGCCAGTACATAACATCATTTTTCTGTCAAGCAGGGAGACTGTGTTTGACTTCCCTCTATTTCTGTCTCGTCCTGAACTGTGAGGCCAACATAGAATTGAGCACGTGGAAGTTGACAATGTAGGTGTCCAAGGTAGGACCAAAAAATATTTGTGTAAAGGTCTAAATGCGACTTCACTTTCACTGAGTTAAAAGGAGCCTGAAGCAGAGTCTTCATTCAGGATTATTAACAGATGCTTCTAAAAAACTAGATGAAAATAATTAAATGAAGATTTAAGCTGAAAGAGAGGAGAATTAACTCCTTCTCAAAAGACAACATCCATCTGAAATACGGTAAGCCCATGATCTAAGTGAAACAAGGAGTTAGAGTGAACATGACTGTAAAACTACTTCTTAAAATATTTCACAAATATTTTGGTTAAGTTTCCACTTCTTTCACATAGAATTTGTCGATAGAGCTGTTCTCAGGAGTACTGCAGCAGATGAGCTTACAGTTATCCTAATTTAAGTTTTCAGAGGATTTTTATTCTTCTGAAAGTCATGATTAGTTAAATTACTATAAAAAAAAGCTAAGCTGAGATGGCTATCACAGCAGAGTTCTCACTTCCAATAATCATTTCCGTGCTGCCAACTCAGAGAAACAATATTCCACTGAGGAAAAGAATTATCTTCATGTGTCAACTATATGACAGCTGATATGCTACTGAACAAGCTCTCTACTTTGAGTCGTCTCACTTTTAAAAGAGCGAAACTTTAAAACTGTGAAGCAATTGTGTAGGGATACCAACTCCCTGACATTGCTGCCATTGTATACTATTAGGAGGCTGCTGAACGTGGACATTTGATGCCAGAAGGCAGACTGACACAGAAATACAGAAGAGATCAGAAAACTGTTTATATGAAATAAACGTTAAAAGAAAATTAAGGGTACATAGGAACACTCAAAATCAAGAAGTCTAGGGCAATCTTTAGGCGTGTACATCAGAAGTTATTTTTTAAATTAAGAACATTTCACAGACACTCTCAAAAGATTGATTTGTCATCCTGAGTGTACCCACTCTGGTGATGAATTACAGTTAGGAAGTCATAGAGACTCCTGTAGGTAGAGCCTTGCTTCCTTTGTCACAAGAATTGGAGGAGAACTATGGTATGAGCCAGAAGAATGCAATGAAGAAAGAAAAATCTCTTGGGTCCTAACATCTCAATGCTAATATCTCAAAGACTCAGATCCTTTCCCCACTTCTGCCCAAAAATTTTTACATGAAACCAGGCACACCACTCACATGAAAAATTCCACGAGTGCTCACCTGAGTTTTCCTTACTATACAGCTGCCTGTGTTAGTGCTATCGACTCAATATGGAGAAATGTGGAACGACTTACAGTTGCACTTAAAGGAATTCAAGAGTTTTATGTGAATACTAGGAAAAAAATAAATAAACCGGGTCACAGGTGTCTCAAACCTGGCATTCGAACCGAGCAGTACTTCTGACCTCAATCTCCTTGTGCTCTGTTTCCCTGGTTAATAATAATTCCCCATCTCGGTAGGGTGTTCTGAAAATCAATTAACATCTGAAGCACTGAAATACTGTAGTGATGAGTCCTACAGAAATGCCAAAGAGGAAAATAATAACTTCATCCTCAAATTCTGATCTGAATGGTATATAGTAAGGCATAGGGTTACCCAATAAAAAATAATAAGGGGGAAGAAAACAAACCCCCCCAAAAGCTGCTCATTAGATAAGTACTGTTCCTTCTGTACACAACAAGGCAGAGATCCTGGAAGAAGACAACCCAAAACCACAGAGCTATGTGTGATGAAGAATCTATCACTATGCATATGAGTAAGCAATTTTCATACTGTACTACTTAACTTCCAAAGGTTTATCTCTAATCTTATTTAAACTCCTTCAAGTTTGGTTTTATCACATACATTTACATGTGAAAACAATATGATTTGTACATGCTGGAGGCTCAGTACAAGTTCACCTGACCGGACCCATTTAAAAGGTCTGCATCTCTGGTGAGGTTCAAACAGCTGATGTTGCATCAAATTATCCTGCCCGTGCTTCATCTCTTCACTAGTTCAAAACAGCCAGAATCCAGAGTATCAAGGAAAGTAAGAAAAGGAAAAAAAAAAAAAAACAAATGGGCTTTCAATATCTAAAAATTACCACGCCCTAGAAATCTGGTGTGTCATGCTCGTTCAGGATTAGATACTGGAATTTTTCTATACGTTGCATGGAAAGTAAAAACGCCCAGGCTGTGCCGCAGGCGTTCATCCCTTGTTTAGCCAGAGACGTACGATACGGAAACACACCAGCTGCTGATAGCAGGAGCTAGAGGTACCCCCAGTAAATTCACGCCTCATAAATCTGAAAAGCTGTAAATTTAAATATTGACTTTGTGGTCCTGTACACTTCCACACATGAGCACATGGGAATATGAATAATAACTTTAAATTCTCTAAAACACAACCACAAATAGCGAGCAAATACAAAATACCCAAAATAGATGAGGTCAGTCAGTACGGGTGTGAAATGAGCTGGCATTAGCTTTGCCCCTCATTATCAATGACGACCTCCCAGACCCATGCTTTCAGTGGAACCTGACATCACGTTGTGCCAGCATACATGCACACAACATCACCCACCCATCTCCTCTCATCATTTTCCATACATGTTATAACCCACCAAGTAGAAAGTGTGATCCAAGAATATCCCAGGTTCCCTACCAATCAGTATTGGGGGAAGGGGAGGAAATCATCAATAGCTGTTTCTTTTAAAAATATTGAATAAAAGATGTTTGGCTTATGCTCAGTTCTTCTGTAGCATTTTTGTAATATATACCTTGTAGCTCAGCTCTTTTCTAAAAATAGATTTTCTTTCAATCATCATCAGCTTTTATTCAGCTGAGAGCATATAATATTCTAAGAGTACTAATTAACAGAGAAACAGAAACTGAGAAAAAAGGGGATTATTCTTTAGAGATTTTTTTTTTTTTACAGTTACATATCAAGATATTTAAAGTGAACATAATATTTAGCTTAGTTCAGCAAATACACCGGTCAACTGAACTTTGCAAATTCTGGCTCACTGTCAGCCGTATTTATTGCTGCTTGGGCAAACCCACTTTCCACCAGCAGAAACAAAGGTCCTATTGGACACGGGGCCAAAGCAAGAGTTAAATCTGAGCAGTCCCGGGCTTCTGGCAGGTCAAGCCTGGATCTAAATTTAGTGTCAGAGGTTCTCCTCTCTCATTAGAGTGTTTTGGATTACTAATACAGCTCTGCCCAAGGAAGTAGACATCTTTGTTTATCAAATTATCTCCCATTCTTCTCAAGCTGTCTTTGACAAGGTAGCGGGCAGCTGCTCATGCCTCAAATCTTGAGGAATTCCCATGAGAGGATCCTCAGAAAAGCATCTACAACATGCCCCTTTTTAGACTAGGAACATAAAATTACCAATCACTTCTAAATACCCAATTCTCTATTTGTTAAAAGCTTGTGGGCAGGGATCCTAATCCTTTTAGATACAGTACCACTGGGATGAGATTGGTCATTAGCTCAGCATGATCTAGTCTATTATTTATATGATCATCCATACGAGT